GTCTTAGCTCTTGATGATGGGCTAAAGACCTTTAACATGTTATAGGTGGTACATGATTCTTCATTCTCAGTCTGTAGGGTCGTAGCCAACCTCTTCGGATCAGACCTGACCAGCGAATCAAAAGAATGACAACAATATTGGTACCATGTAGTTTGTTGTTCAAAGTAAAAGATTCGACAAAGTTATATATGGACCAAACTTATATCGTCACTAGTGTAAATTATAAAGGATATCACTCTTTATACCAGAACTCTGAGACTGATGTTCCTCCAGTGGCATAGGCATGAGAATTATTGACAATATCCATAAAATACATCCCAATTTCCTTGCACAAAAAAAGCAAACTCAGGATCAAGAGAATATATGCATTTTGTAAAGGCGAAATAGAAGTATCATGATTACCTTATAAATCGGATCGCCAGTTATTTCATAACGCATTTGTGATCCAATGACAACTGGAATATGCGTGTTTGCATGAAACCCCGAAATGTCATCAGCCTAAAAGTAAAAAGAAAAGACTCAAGTAAATTCGGACAAATTCTATATGCAAGCAAACATTGATAATAATTAATACCCAGTGCAACAATAAAAAGGTATGAACAAAATGCCAAATATGACACTTGAAAATGTTTCACCATTTTTGTTATTTGAATGCCATAGAATGGTTATACCAAACGAAACACACAAAAATTAACACAGACATAGACACCCACACACACCCACACACACACATCAATAGCTCTCACAAACAAGGAGCAAAATTGTGCCTATTTTATACAAACAAGGACCACGAAGAACCTGGTTTGCGAGAATAGTCATATGCATAATGGATTACAAACATGTGGACTGAGGAAACACAAAACACAAAGAGATATACAAAAGAAATGTTCTTAGCCACTGAATTGGATATTGGAATGTGGAGAAAGATGTGATGGCCACCTTAACGGCCAGTAAACCAAGAAAGCATGGCTTGTCAAAAAGGTGAGCCAACAATAAGTGCTTTGGATCCGCCTGCAAAGTGAGCAGCAAAGTTAATGAATGAAAGCCTGATGAGTAAATGGAAATGGGATTCGGCACAAAGTTTCATTCGGCTTCGTTTGTCCCGTTGAAGCTTGGAGAATGAATTTTCTCTGATTTATGGAAATGGCAAAGTAGAAGGTTAACAGTACACACCGTTATGTTGTATAGCTTATAAAGAACATCGTTCATTCCCCCCGTTTCTTCATTTAAAGATAACCAGTGTCTTTCAATCGTATATTTTGAGATAACATTCCGCACACGATCATAAAAGTAATCAACCATCCACTTTGTCATGCTCAGTGCTTGAAAATTACTAGCAAAGGTGTACTGATCCAATAGACCAGCCAAAATCTGTAAAATTCCAATGAAATGGGGGTCTCAAAAAAAAATGGTGGATTTATATGTACAAGAAACGGAAGGCGATAGAGCAAATTATACCTTGTGAATCGTATAGTAGGGTGCCCATACAGGTCTTATAGCTTCAAAGCGGTCAAAGAATTCAGATGGGAAAGCAGATAAATATCCGGATCCGATCTTGTTTTGGCAGGCGGATAGAACAGAAACAACCGAAGACATTTGATCTTTGAGAGTGGCATTGTGTGTACTTGCCCACAGCCGTGCTGAGGCACTCAGGTAATGCCCTTAAATCAGTATTGTAATTAAGAATCAAAGATCAGTAAGTGGAATATATATGTATGTAGTATATATGTTCAAAAGATGCAGAAAGAAAGAAAGAAGAAGAAGATTGACGACAAACCTACAAAATGGCCTCGGAGCTCAGAAGATGAGCCCTCCCAGCCACCATATGGGGCCGACGCAGGAGGAGTATCCAAACCAGCAGTCTTCCTGAAGCTCCACACCAGTCTATCAACATCCAACATCAGCAAGTACTCCAAGTTGGTCTGTTGGGCTCTCCCGTGGACCGAGTTCGGGTGCAGCCTCACATCGTGCAACGAAACTTCTTCAAGAAACCCCCCGACTCCACCCCCGCCGCCATAGCTCTTCATCTTCTTCTTATACATCATCATCATCCAACCAAAACCACCTTCCTCCTCCTCCTTCATCTTCCTAGGAAGCAGATTCGACCACGCCGAATCGTCTGTCGGAGTCAAATGGTAGTGGCCAAACATTTCTTTCCTCCAAGTTTCATTCTCTGACGACAGCAACTCATATCTCACAGTGTGTGATGACAGTTTAGTGGGAGTGTTTGTGCATTCCTTGCTCCTCAAAGCAACTACTCCACACGTTAGTAGCAATAAAGCAATTACCACTCCCAACATCAACGAAAACTTCATCTCTCTCTCTCTCTTTTGCAAAACTGCTCTTTTTTCAATCAATCAGAGTGAATGAAGAGAATGGGATATAATACTAATATAATTACTCAAGAACACATATTCTGGTCATCAAAGACTCGATCAGCTCTACATTTATATTGGGGACAAGATCATTATTCCTTGTACGACACTAGTAAAAAATATGAATTATTTAATGAAACAGGATCTTATCCTATTGCAATAATTAAGATTCCTTTCCATCACAAGGGTATAGTCCCAAAACTATACTAACAAAAACAAGTCAATGTCACCAGGCTCAGCCAAACGTAAAAGACTGAACTTTCTTCTCGGTAGAAGAGAGCAAAAACAACCCCACAGATGGTCCAATATGTTGCGACAAATAAATGAATAATGTGACCGAGGAAAAAGACGCCAGTCCCATAAATTAAAAAAAGAAAATTAGCATCTGAACCGTTAAGATCAGGACCATCTGAGTACTGTAGCGCAAAGTAACGATCTTGGAACTGAAATAGGACACACACTCGTGTTTATGGAACGAAGCGCAAATCCTACTCGTAGGTATAATGATATATATATACTCCGTATATGCATATATTATATATACCGATATATATAGCTAGGCACACGGGACAGCCGTATAAATAAATAAATATTCGTATGCATGAACAGAGCTGAGGGAGACAGAGCAATGAAAAGATGGAGTCACGGATGATATCACGAGACACTATAGGCAGGCTGGTCAGTTTTCATGGGTAATGCGTAGACGGAGAAAGGCATTGCGTACGTGGGAAACATGACTTTTTTCAAGACTAGATTTTTTTTTGAAGGACAAGACTACATTTTTTAAAATCAAAGAATTATTTATATAAAAACTCAAACTAATACACACAAAATTGCACAAGTTTAGATAAATATTCTTGAATTCTAATACTCTAAAAAAGTTTTGATATTTCCATCGTTGCTCCAAGAATTGTTATATGCTTACTTTTGTGCATCAAATGTTGCGGCATAAATGTAAACACATATCAATTTTGAAGCATTGATGTAACAATATAAAAAAAGTTTAGAGTATTGATGTCATTTATCAACTCTTGTAATATTTATGTAAACTTGTGTATATTTATCATAATCTAATGGTATTAATTTAAACCGGTCTTAGATTTGGAAAGATTTTTATTATATACATAAATTCCTTAGTAATATTTTCACCAATGCAAATATGATAAATTCCTTATTTGGTAAAAAGAATTGTAAGTGTGATAAACAAAATGGTAAGTTTTGTAAAAATTTTAATAGAATGATTAATAAACAATATGTTAAATTTTGCATAATAGCCACACATTTGGAGGAAGGCTTAGGGAAAGGGCTGGGGTGGGGGTAGGGGTGGGACTAGGGTGGGTGGGGGGGTTCAGGGGGTGGGTCAAGGTAGGAACCATCCATTTTTTGAATGAGCACCAGAGGCGTTCCAAAAACGCTGTAACACCGCTAGTGCCATCGTTGGGCAGTGTCAACATAACCGTGCCCATTTTATATATAAGAATTCACACTAATACTCACATAATTGCACGAGTTTAGAAAACGGAGGGGTATATGCGAACTGTAACATCTATTTTGTGCATGACTTTTTATACATAAGTTCAAACTTATTATTACTTCGTATAAAATTATAATATAAAATTCTTTATATTTATTTATTGAATTGTAACATTTATTATGTGCATTATTTTTTATACGTAAGTCCAAACTTGTCAAATGATATGTCGTTGCTCACCTTTTCACCATATATACCTACCCAACAACCTAAAATTGGTTATATAATATTTTTTCCACGACATACTTGTATTTTATTCTTTAACTTTATTATCTTTTAACTTTTAGGGTGGTCAAGTCACTAAGTTTCAATTCAAGTTTAAATTTAACTATAAAAATTACTTCGTAAATGGTTTATTTTAGCACTGACATTTTAATTTTTTGCATGTAAACAAAAATAAAATTATGATTTATTAGATTTTTTTTGTTTTATTTTTTATTTTTTTTATTTTTTTTATTTTTTATTAGAAATTAGTTTTTAACTTCTAGGGTATATTTCGTGGTGTTATTATCTATGATATTAGAGTTTTTTTAGTGCAAGTCAAGTTTCCCAAAAAGAGTAAGTTTTGTCCAAGTATCGTGTCTCTTAAGAAATGGACAAAGTGAATTAGCTATTTTTTAATTAGGGGAAGGTTAGAGCGTTTTCCGGCCACATCCGGCAAAATTGACGTCGTTCATCCCCTCCAAAGTGTTCCTGGCATCTCGGCGACCCCCAAGGACCCCTCAATTGCAAGATTTGATGGCGATTTGCAAAAATTCTCAATTTTCGGATTTTTGAGTTTCTTCGAGTGGAAAAATTTAAATCCGAGGAGTTGAAGGCCAAATCGGACAAAATGATTTGGATATTCTTGATCCTCATCCCAAGACGAAGAGAATGACGTTGGTCCCGCCGGAATCTGACCAGGTTGAGTTTCCGGCGACTTTGACGTGGTGCGAGGACGGCGGGGAGCGGAAGAAAAAAAAAATGGGGTCAAATTGAAAATTTTAAAATATAAAATTCTAATTTGGCCCAAATGACTGGAAGTTAACATGGAAACAGACAAATGGACTTTTAGTGAAAGGATTATGTAAGTTCATGGATTTTTGTGAAATGATTTGATGTTTAGGTACCATTTCGAAGTTTCAGCTAAAGTTCAGGTACTGGTGAAATTTACCCCCCAATAGCCCATCGCTTGAATATTAATAACTCCATTATAATTTAGTATATGTTCATAAATTCTCAACCCATTGAGTACTTTGAGTTATTTCCCACTATGGATGGAAAATGATTTTATATTCTAACTTTCAAATGGCATTTCAACCAAGCTAGAAATTATTTTTTTTAACCAATTTAGAATGTTACATTACCAACTTTTAAAAAGATATCCATTCCTAAAGTGTTGGCAAACAATTCCTTTTGTCAAAAAAGAAAAAAATGAAGAAGAGCATGTTGGCCTTGAATGCCGTACCCCGTAACCGTTTTGATGTGCCAAATAAGTCTTCCAAATGCTAATAGGGTAAATTTCATCAATGGTACCTGAACTTTAGCTGGAATTTCGAAGTGGTACCTCAACTTCAAATCCTTTCACAAAAATCCCTAAACTTACACAATCCTTTCACTAATAGTCCATTAGCCCGTTTCTAGGTCAACTTCCGGTCATTTGGGCCAAATTAGAATTTTATATATTTTAAAATTTTCAATTTGACCCCATTTCTTCTTTTCTTTTCTTCCGCGCCCCGACGCCGCTGCTTGCCGGTCAAAGTCGCCGGAAAATGAACTTGGTCCGATTCCGGCGAGACCAACGTCATTCTCTTCGTCTTGAGACGAGGATCAAGAATATCCAAACCATTTTGTCCAACTTGGCATGTAACTCCTCGAATCTGAATTTTTCCACCCGAAAAAACCCTAAAATTCGAAATTGGGTCCAAAATTGGGGGTTTTGCAAATCGTCATCAAATCTTGCAAATGAGGGGTCCTTGGAGGTCGCCGTGCTGCCACGAACACATTGGAGTGGATTACCGGCGTCAATTTCGCCGGATTTAGCCAGAAAACGCTCCGACCCGTCGCCGGTTTCCGGCGGGTCGGAGCGTTTTCTGGCCAACTCCCGCAAAATTGACGACGGTAATCCACTCCAATGTGTTCGTGGCATCAAGGCGACCTCCAAGGACTCCTCAATTGCAAGATTTGATGAAGATTTACAAAACCCCCAATTTTGGACCCAATTTCGAATTTTAGGGTTTTTCGGGTGGAAAAATTCAGATTCGAGGAGTTACATGCCAAGTTGGACAAAATGGTTTGGATATTCTTGATCCTCGTCTCAAGACGAAGAGAATGGCGTTGGTCTCGTCGGAATCGGACCAAGTTCATTTTCCGGCGACTTTGACCGGCAGGCGGCGGCGGCGGGGCGCGGAAGAAAAGAAAAGAAGAAATGGGGTCAAATTGAAAATTTTAAAATATATAAAATTCTAATTTGGCCCAAATGACCGGAAGTTGACCTAGAAACGGGCTAATGGACTATTAGTGAAAGGATTGTGTAAGTTTAGGGATTTTTGTGAAAGGATTTGAAGTTGAGGTATCACTTCGAAATTCCAGCTAAAGTTCAGGTACCATTGATGAAATTTACCCAATGCTACTAACATCATTTACAGGAAGAAACCAAACGCCAAACCTCCATTAGCTTGTTTAGCATCACCGAGATATACTCCTACGAGTTTAGAAATTATTGTGTAAAGGTAATGATATATTTTAATGATTTACTTATGCCCTTTCACTCAAAAATTAATTTTAAAATGTTAAATATATTCTTAGTGTGGGTTATTTTGAAAACGGAACACGAAAAACGAGTTCTAGAAAATTTACACAGGCCTAACGGTACCTGGCTACCGTGTACACGGCACCATGGTACCGCCGGTAGCCAAGTGAACGTACCGTTGTACGCTTCACTTGAGAAGTCACGGTACCCCTCCTACCGCGTAACGGTACCTAGGTACCGGACGGTAGGCAGAGACGGTTGGCCACCCCCGTCCTAACCAGGTACCGCCAGAGGTGAACCAAACTTTTGGCTTATACGGTACCCCCAAATGGTAGGCTGTACCGTGGTCACGGTACCTAGGTACCGGACGGTACTAACCCTACCGTGAAGGGTACCAGATCCGTTGTAATCACTGTAGCAAATTGCCAATTTAAATTCAAATCACCCCTAATAACTTCCTAACGGCTTTTAACGTTAAAAACTCAAATTTTAACATTCCAAACTCCTATATAAACCCCCTCTAAGTCTCATTTTATTCACAACAACTTCCCAATTAAATCTAAAGCCTCTTTCTCTATTTTTGAGTGTTCCTAAAGCTTTGTTCTTATTTTTCTTACTCTTTTGAGTAAAAAGCTTTCATTATTTTCATACACTCTCACACAAGGGCATTTGTGCTTCATTGTTTTATATCTTGCCTATAGGCTTTTGTTGTTGTTGATTTAATCTTTTGTTCTTCTCCTACCCAATTCATATTTGTTATTTTTTGGTAGAGAAGCAACACCAATCTTTTATTGATTTG